CTGGTATAACTTCACGTGTCAGCATTACCAGGCCATAGTGCCCAGCTATTGAAACACTAATCCATGTGTTCCTATGATTTTGTCTTTTTGAGACAAAGTGTCCTGTAGCCCCCATTGGAACCTGGAACTCACTATGTAAACCAGGCTGGCCTCAAACTCACAAAGATCTGCCTGTCTCTGCCTCCCAAGTGCTGGGATTAAAGGTGTGCATCACCATGCCCAGCTTGGGTTTGTTTTTTGTTTTTTGTTTTTGTTTTTGTTTTTTTCTTGATGGTTGCAATTATTGCTGCTTTCAGATCCTGGTTGGAATTATTTTAAATTTTCTTTCACTTCTCTCCTCACCAAAAATGTACATTTTCCTCTCTTTTGCCTTCTTGATATTCTGTCTTATTGTAAAGCAGGATAACAGCAGTCAGTAGTAACAATGCCACACTGGGAATGCTATAAATGTGGAAGTTTCCTCTGCATGAATATATTATTTTTTAATTCAGCCTGCTCAGTTTTGAGGACATGGGCACAATGAACCTGGATTCTTTGCTAAAATGTAACACCAATGGCTTGCATTTTAGTTTCCAAAAGAATCCTTATTATATTCTAAAACTTTATGAGCCAGGCTTCCTTTTCCTGTATTTCTCCAGGCATTCTAATCTTTGAAAGTCCCCACAAATGATCCTTTAAGCTCTGTCTAAAACATTCTAAGGCTTCTGTAGTGTACAGGCCCAAACTCTTCTCCATTCTTGCCATAAATCAGTTCTACAGGCCAAGAGCTTTTTGTTCAGGTTTGTTACAGTAAGATACTACTTCATTTTACTGTTTCAAGGGTCACTGCTGGAATCTTCTTATAAAGTGTACATTTTATTTAATATTTTTATTTTATATATGAGTGTCTGCCTCAATGTTTATAACTGCACCCATTCGTGCAATCTCTGTATAGGCCAGAAGAGGGCATCGGATCCCCTGGAACTGGAGTTACAGATGGTTCGTAGCTCCCATGTTAGCTGGGAACTAAACCTGGGTCCTCTGCAAGAGCAGCCAGTGCTATTAACATCTGAGTCATCTCTCAGGCCCCTATAAAAAACATTTAACATGCACTAATAATTTTGTTCCTATGGGGCATGTGTTATGCATTTCATTTACCTGGTGGAGGATCTCACACAGCCCAGGCTGGCCTCAAACAAACTATTTATCAATGGCTGTCTTTGAAATCCTAGTCCTGCCGTTTATGTCCACCGAGAATGGTGATTACACATGTGCAACACCGATAGCTTGTCATGTGTTATTTAAATGGATTAAAATGTCCAACACAGCCACGTGTGGTGGTACACACCTTTAATCCCAGTACTCGGGAGACAGAGGCAGGTGGATCTCTGTGAGATTGAGGCTAGCCTGGTCTATAGAGAGTTCCAGGTCAACTGGAGCCACAGGGAGACCCTGTCTCAAGATTTAAAAAATGTCCAACCCAAATGTCAATGGGTGAGCAATTTGGTAGATACAGAATACAATGAGAAGAGGCATGGTTAGTTTCTGAAAACGTGTTCTGAAAACAGGTTAAATTACCTTTCAGGAAGTAGATTTGTTATGAGAAAGGGCCTTCAGACAGTGATTAACTCTTGAGGTAGGTCAGCATTAGAATGAACAGTACAATGTATGTCAGAGGCAAATATGAATGGAGCCTTAAGGGAAGAGGTGGCTTCCCCTTTTTTAAAAAATATTTTCTTTATTATTTTTATTTTATGTGTATGCATGTATTGCCTACATGTAGGTAAGTAAGTGCACCTGTGTCATGCAATGCCCGCAGAGGACAGGAGAGGCTGTCGGATGCCCTGGAACTGGAGTTACAGACAGTTGTTAGCTGCCATGGGAATGCTGGGATTCGAACCCAGGTATTCTGCAAGAACAGTCAGTGTTCTTACCCACTGAGCCATCCCTTTAAAACCTGGAACTTCATTAAGAGGGATAACTGAAACTTGGAGAGAGGTTGTTGCCATGAGAGAAGTAAGGGAGGTAGGGAGGGGGTCAAGTGGCACAGACACTTTGGAGAAATTCCCTGAACAAAGGGACTATCTGAGTTCTCTGTCCCTTCAGGAAGTTCCACAGCGTGTGAGTTAGTGTGGGATAGCCTATGAAATTATGAGAATGGAGGAGCCAGGTACTGAGAAAGACAGTAAATTAGAACTTGTAAAACAACAGCTCAAGCAGGTTTTTTTTTGTTTGTTTGTTTGTTTGTTTTCTTAATTTGGGTGTTGGGGAGGGTTGCCTGAAGCAGAACTTGCTATGTAGGCTAGGGTGACCTGGAACTTAACTCATAGAGATCCGATTGGCTCTGGCTCCCAAGAACTGGGAAGGCTTAGGCAGCTGGTTACCTAGATCCTAGGGAAAGAGAGGCAAAGGGTGGGGGTGGGGGATGGGTCAGGGGCTTGGCTTAATTACTTCAGGCTGTAAGATCTGGCCCCTTAGAATGACCAACTTCTTAAAGAGAGGCCCCTGTTCTAATCCTTAGTTTGCCTGAGGGGAAAATCTAGATCCCTGGTGGACATCAGGCCCGTGGTCCAATACAAATGTGCCTAAGGTGGGCTGGGTGCCTTTCTAGGTCTGTGGCATCGAGTCAACTGAAGGGAACCAAATAATATAAAGAGAAGAGACTGGGCCACAGAGTTAACTGGACAAGCTGCTTTGGAAGGTTACAAACAACTTGGAGGAATACCACGAAGTTCCTTACACACAAGGAATTGTGTGGAGGTGTCCACCAGCACACTGACCGACACCACAACCTTCATCTTGGGCTTGTTATTCCAAATCCCAGAATGCCCTGAAAGATAGTAGCCATAGCAGGACTTTGTACCTAGATAATAGCTGGGGAAAATGTGTCCAGGGAGAAATCACCCTGTGCTTCTGCTTCTCATGCTGCAATTGTTTAACAAGCCCAACGAAAGGAAAAGCAAAAACGCACTCAGGGATCTTTTGCCCTGAAGTGCTGAGCCCTCTGCATTCTTTGAATTAAGCATTCCTGTGTCCGCGGTTACTTCCGGGTCTGAAAAACAAGTCAACTACATAGGACATGGAATGTGTAATTGACTGAGCGGTCCTATGAACGGAAGGAAGCACAAGACATGACTCCTGAGTGAGTTGTAAGACTGTGGTACCTGCTTTCCAGGCCACCAGGAAGTTCTGCTTTAAGGATTATTTCCCTAGTGTCAGACCGGGTCTGTGTCTGGCGACTAAGCCACGCCCTCCAGTCACTCAGGCGTCAGGGGTGGCCCAAGCCAATCAGGGCTCCCGGAAGTGCTGTCCAATCCGGAAGGCCGGAGGGCAGCGGAAGGCGGGAGGCGGGGTCTTTCCGGCCCACCTGCCTTCAAGTTCTGCGAAGAGGTTCCGCTCCCAGCCTAGGGAGGCCCTGGGTCTCTACTCGTGTGTTTACCGAAAGCGCTCTGAGCGCCCTGCCGGGAGCCGCGGAGAGCGCGGGCGAAGCCGGAATTCGGCCATGGTGAGCGCGGGGCCGGCCGTGTGCAAACGGGAGCAGCGGCCGTTGGAGCCGCCAGAGCGGGCTGTGCTGGGTCCTCCCCGTGCGGGCGGCAGCCGGACGGCGTCTTGTGCGGTCCCGACGACCAGGTTCCCTGCGCGGCCGCCTGTGGCGTTTCCCGCTGCAGCTGCTTCTGCGCCGGGCACTGAGCGGGAGGCTCCGCCTGCGCGGGCAGCTTCAGTGTCCGGACTGTGCAGAGCGCGGGATCGTGCTGTTGTGCTGTGTGGACGAGTGTTAGGGGAAGTGAACGGTAGAGTCTGAAAGTCAAGGTCGGGACACTGGAGGACACGAAGAGGGCATGCAGCCGGGTAGGAGATGGGCAAGCTGTGTGGAGAAGAGGAAGGATGGGGTGGGAAGACAGCAGCCGGTCTGGGCAGGTTCCATGACCCCCATGAAGCTCCTCCCTGAGGAACACGTGCAGACGCCTTTTCCATTTCCCCAGCGAGTTTATCTAATACGGACGTTGGCAGCTGTCTTCATTCCCTTGCATCTAATTTAACACTGAATTTTGGGTAAAAAGTTGTTCAAAATAAGCCTTCAGTAGTTCCTGGAAGGGACCACTGGACCCAGGGCGGGGCAAGGGGAGGAGAGATGTGGCCCAGGACTCACAGTCCGCACAGTAGAGGAAGCCCCTCGCAGCCCCCTCGGCTCTGTGCGCCCTCCACTCCGCAGTGCGTTCTTCCTTTCCACGTTTGCTTTCTCTCCTGCTGAAGTAAACCTTGACTGCTGCAGCTCCCTGCTGCTCTCCCCGGACAGTTAAGCAATCTGTGCTGTAACTTGACAGCCCTTAAATTATGGAAGCTGGCTCCTGCATGTTTTTTTGTCTTGTAAGTTATGTTCAAGTAAATCAGTGATAGGAAACTTGAGATCAGCACCTGGAAACTTAAAAATGCCTGGTACTTCCTTTGTTTTGGAGGTTGTTTAGGGCATGTTCTGTTAACTCTGAGGATTGCGTGCTCTGTGAACTTTCTTTGAAGAGGCTCCTCAGGGCCCCCTTGCCATCCTTTTCATTTTTGTCTCTCTCTCCCCATCACACTACTTTCACTCTAAATGAAGCTTCTCTCCAGGTTTTTGTTTTTTTAAGATTTATTTTGTTTTTTAAGTGTGTGTGCGTGCGTGCCCGTGCACATGAGTGCAGGTACCCATGGAAATCAGGATCAGATCCCCCTGGAGCTGAAGTTACACACTATTGTGTGGTGTGTGGCCCAATGTGGCTGTCACGATTGAACCTGGTTCATCTTTGACAGTAATAAGTACTCTTAACCACTGAGCCTTCTAACTTCAGTATCTTCTCCAGGTTTTAAAGGGAAACCTTTCCTTCTTAAGGCCCATCATGTTTGGCCTTTCCATATTAGTGTCCCATTCTCTGTCTAATGCTCTTTTTCCAAAAACATCTCTAGGCTGGATCATGATCTCCAGGCCCTTTCTCATAAACCTCATTCCTGAAGGGACTTATGTGTCACCTTTCCTTTCTGTGTCACCTCGGCTACTTTATTATCTCTTTATTGTTACATTTAACATGGAACACAGTAGTTTTTGAGTTCTACAGCAAGAGAATGAACCTGGTCTTTGAAGGGCTTTGTGGGTTCCTGAGATATGTAATATTTCTATGGCTAATTTGCCTGCCAAGATATGATAAGCATAAGATGCTAATCTATATCGACCCACTCCTGTGCCTACATGCACATGATGCCCACTGTGCTGCTGGATAGCTTTAGTGTCAACTTGACACACCTGTGTTGAGGGATCCTCAGTTGGGGAATTGCCTCCATTGGACTGGCCTGTGGCCATGTCTGGGGGCATTTTCTTGATTGTTGAGTGATGTGGGAGGGCCCAGCCCACTGTGGGTAATGCCACCCCTGGGCAGGTGGGCCTGTGTTAGATAAGAGAGCAAGCTGAGCAGGGGCCAGGGGAGAAAGCCAGTAAGCAGTGTTTCCCCATGACCTGCGATCCAGCTCCTGATTCCAGGTTCCTGCCCTGAGTTCCTACCTTGGGCTCCCTGATGAACAGTGACCTGGGAGATGTAAGACAAACCCTTTCCTCCCCAAGTCGGTAGTGGTCAGAGTGTTTTGTCACAGCAATGGAGAAACAAACTAAGACACCCACTGTACCATAGGAATGGTGTCAGGTGAACACAGCTCTTGGGTGAGATCCTTATAAGGAGCTTACTGATTGATCATTAGGGGAAACTTAGATGTTAGGTGCAGTGAAGCCCATGGTGTATGTGTAGATCCAGTTAGCTGTTAGAAGACTGATTTCCCAAATAGCGGCCTGTGAAGTTCTGGCATGTGCCCACATGTGGGTAGAAAAGTTAAGTGGTAAGTAATTCTTGAAAAGGAATGAGCTGAGATAGGAAAGAAATGGATGGAAACCAAAACCACTGCAGAGAGGGGTTGAGTAGAAACTCAGAAATGTGTTGTGCTGCTGAAGCTCTTTCATTTTCCCAAAACCAGTTGAACTCTTTGTGGTCTATGAGGACTCTCATTTGTTGGAGTGGGAGGGAACTTGAAGAGCTTCCTGAGCATTGGCATCTTCTTTCCAGGGTGATAGTTCAGCACAAGCATATTCTCACAGTTGACTGAATTGAGTTTGTGGTTGTGTGCATGTGTATGTTCATTTGTGTGCAAATATGTATGAATGTGTCCATGTGTTTGTGGCATCAAGTGACTCCCGGTTACTTTCCTTATTTTTATAATTTAATTTATTTATTACTGTTGGGTATATATGCTGTGTGTAAAAATCCAATCCAGGATTTGTGCATGCTAGAAAATGTTGTGCCGCTGAGCCTTTAACTCCAGCCTGAATGTTTCTTTTCTTTAATAACTGTTTGGTGGGGCAGGAGTTGTCAGTTTGAAGGGTGTCACTCTGTAACCCAGGCTGGCCTGGAACTCAGGATCCTCCTTTCTCATCTTTCATGTGCTGGGATTACAGGTGTGACTCGCCACTCTTGGCTCCTTATAATCTTACAGCGCTGTTAACTTTCTTGCTATAATGTATTGCAAGGGATTTAATGAGGTTAAGTTGTAGCGTGTATCTTATAGATAGTTTTGTTGTGTATTTTTCGTTTTTTCTTTTAAAAAATTCTAAATGTGAATTGACATTGAGTAAGACACATTGAAGGGGCTCCAGCTCTCCTGGTACTCTTAGCGTTGCTTTTGTTTTGTTTTGTTTTGTTTTTGGTCTTTTTGAGACAGGGTCTCCCTGTAGCACCAGCTAGCCTGGAACTCACTATGTAGACCAGGTTGGCCTTGAACTCAGAGATCCGCCTGCCTCTCCCTCCAAGTGCTGGGACTAAAGGTGTGTGCCATCACACCCAGCCTGCACTAAGCGTTATTAAAGCATTGCTGAAATAACCAGCATTGTAAATGGTGAGCTCTTTGAGATTATTTAAGCTTTTTGAGACAGATTTGTCGTGTAACCCTGGATGGCCTATAACTCCCTTTGTAGACCAGGATGGCCACAAACTCACAGAAATCTGCCTATCTACCTCTTCCAAGTTTTGGAATTAAAGGTGTTCACCCTCACACCCAGCTCTTTGAATTTCATACCTTTCTGATCCTCATTTTCTCATAATCAAGCAGAGATGTTGGGGCTATTTAACTTCTAACTGGCACTTGTTAGACTCTCCCTTGATGACCTGGAGTACTATGAACTTCCCAGACAGAGCTCCCTTATGACAAAACTCCCGAACTCTCCTGGAGCACTAGTTCTTGCTCCTGAAGGGGTCAGCTCACCCTGTGTTGTTCAAGCCTCCGTAAACTGTTAAGCATACAAGCATCCCTTTCCATCCAGGCCAGAGGAGCTGCACATTCCCTGAGGGCCTGTCAGAGGGACTGTTGTGACTGGTGCTGCTAGAGGCAATGCTCTGACTGGTGCCAACAGAAGCCTTCCTCTGCAAAGGATGCTTGTGATTGGTGCAGACACTCCTACTCTGACTATGTGAGTAGGCTGTTAGCTCACTTGGTGAGTCTGCTGGGAGACACTGTCCTGTGCTGTCCCGCTTGGTGTTACAACATTAGGCCCAGTACAGGCCTCTTGGGTGGTCTTGTCCTGTCACATGCGCTGCAGGCTGAGTGGAGAACAGGAGAAAAGCAGCAGCAGGGACAGCAGAGCATCTGTGCGAAGCGAGCAGTGTCAGGATGAGCTCCTGGACGCCTGAAGAAGCCACAGCCGAACAGTGTGCATAGGGCAGCTGGGACAGGAACGCGGGGTGCGGCCAAAGTAGCAAGAGAGTAGGGAGAGGACAGAGCGCTGGGGCTGCTGATGGCTCAAAGGCTGTGAAGAGCCAAGAAGGGAAGCTGCAGGCCTTTTTTTATTTTTTTCCTGCCAGACTTCAAGAGAGAGGTCAAGTCTTTCAGCCTAAGGGCCTTAGGTGTCCTGGAAAGGGTTAAAGTGCCTGCTGTCAAAAGGTGAGGAGTTCAGTACCTGCCAGCTATTGCCAAGGACTAAGGATCCTAACTTCTAGGCCTACACAAAAATATAGCACCTATGGAGCAAAGGTTCCTTGTATCCTAGTCCAAAGATTAAACAGTGGGTCAGGAGCCCATATGGGAGTCTATAAGTGAAGATGGAGGAGGTCATGAAGAAAAATGCATAAGTGAATTTTCTGAATGTGCAGTGAGCATAAGTGCTTAGTGAGACATGACCGTGAGTCATCACAGCTTCTGCCAGTGTTGTTGCTGTGTGCGCTATCGTGGCAGTCTTGGTTGTGAACACAAAGTATGTGTGCTTTGCGCTCAGCATGCCATTGTACTCCATGGCACTAACAGGTGCATGAAACACTTCCAGTCAGATTCTGGACTACTGTATTTTGAGTTATAATATATAATGGTTTCATTGTACAACACAATGGTTAAAATATTGGAAACAAAGACAATATTTTTCTACTGCCATTCTTTAGCATGAAAATATCAAATTGGTTAATATATCTTTGGATTGTTCGTATTCAAATATTTGGTTTTTAA